CAGAGCGGAATCATGCGAAGCTTTAAATAATTTGTCAAATGACAACGTGAACTGATTTATTTTCACGTGCCATCGAACGCTTCCGGGACAAAATTTGATTGCATTTATACGATTCTATTCACGCCAGATTCGTTTCCAACATTCGTTTGTTCGGAACGATTCGTTCTCGTACGAAAAGGCAAACAGCGTTTTTATTATTATTCTTTTTTTTTCCCTGTTTGTTTTTTTAATTTGCTGTTTACTTTCTCGGCGGGGAATCGATGTTTCCAAAAAATATCGTTTTAATCACGGAGATTCGATTTTCTTCGATTCGTGACGGTGGCTTTCGTTAAATTGAATAAAAGCGCGGGCTTTTATCTTAATTAAACGTCTAAAGGTGCCACGTCGAACTTCCGCTAGTAGATGCACTTGTTTCAACGAGATAAAAGATACATATTCGAAGCGTCGATAGCACCGACGCGGCAGTCAGTTCAGTCGTGTTCATCGAGTTTTACAGATTCGTTATCCCTCTATCGTTCTGTCGCTTATTTCCGTGCCAATTTACCCGTTTCCCACGACTGGAACACCTCTGCCACTATTTAAATGTTCTTTCATTCAAACACAGACGTAGTCGATATTCAGCAGAGACAGTACAGCATTACGAAAGTACTCGAACACTTGTAAACGTCTTTTTTTCGTACGAAGTATATTTTTTAGCTTCATTGATTATATTGTATCACTAAAACGTGGAAAAAATTTGCAGATAAAAGAGATCACGAACATCAGTGAGATCATATTCAATTACTTGACTTTGAAAATTTTAATTTTATTTTCATTCTCATTAATCGTAAACGTAAATCACTCGCGCAAGTCGCCCATAAACTCAACGACTACTACTTGTTGAGAGTTGAGACAACTGCTGATTCGTCTGTTAAATACATATTTGCTGCAATGGCACGTAATGCAATGTGGACATAAAAGTTTTCTTTGTTCATTCAAATATATACTTTCTTGCGCCGGTAAATGCAACGGCAGACACAATAAAGAGGGAGGGTTTCAATTCCACGTCCTTTTCTAACGAAACGTTTGACTCGTGTTCTCCTAATATCAATATAAAGTCCTCTTCCTCGTTTTATTCGCTTCCTCCCCGTCCCAACTTTCTCAGCGTCTCTCAAATTCTTGCTCTATATCGCTCCCATTGTACATTCTTTGCTCATTGTATCTCTTCTTCGCGCACTTCCCTTCCTTTCTCCATCTATACACGCTTTTACCATTTCAGAACGCGGTGAAAGAAATAGGCAGAGAATAGAATGCAACTTGTAACAATTTTCTAGGACGCCGTGCTTTAGTTGCATCGTGAATTTGTAGTATATATATACGCGCGCGCGTATGTGTGTGTGTGTGTGTGTTTTTCATTCTTTTTCGCAATTTTGATGGGAAAAATTCGATTTCGATTATATTACTTTCTCTCGCGAAAAAAAACACCCGAGGCTTCGAATAAAAACATTAATTTCGCAGGGAAACTATATCCCGTACAACGCAATTACAAATCTCGTTAAATTTTTTTCTGAAGCGGCACCTGGTTCCCGTCGAAATAGTCGAACGCATTTTGTTTGTTATAAAAATATTTCATCAATCCATTTGATGTTTCGAATTTTCACTTTGGCATGGCGCTATCAGATTGCGATTCTCTTACAAATCGTTGTGATCCGGAGCTTATGAAATCGTCAAATCTTTCACATTGTGAAATCAATATCTTCGTTTCAGTCTTCCTTCCGAGTTGAGTGTCACGTTTTCAGATAGACATAGATACAGATTGCTGATATTCAAATGGAGATATTGGAAAGGGACAAGAACAGCTACTAGATTAATAAATACCCGTAGTATTTTCGACTTTCGGTCCAGCTAGCACGTTATGAAAATCTAATTTTTAACATGCACGAATGAAATGAATGTACTTGCAGTATAAAATTTATCAAATTATCTTCTCTATTGCATATTTTATTTCCATTGAGTATAGAATTATCTTCTCTATTGAATATTTTATTTCCATCCAGACATATTTATAATAAATCGTATAATTCCTCTTCATTTGATATTTCGTTTTCATTAAAACAAAAAGCGAATGAAACGTTTAAATCGGTATTCGAAACGTGAAAGCTATTTTCGAGGAGTTTCTAAACGGAAAATATTCCCTATTTTAACGCATTTATTTCCATGCCACAAAATACGAAAGGTAATATCATTCAGTGAATGGAAAACCATACGTCTCGATTGTATAACTTCGAATGCCTGCGTCGCAAATCAACTCTGCTATATCGCGCAGGCCGCCAGTCATTTTCTTTCAGACGTTTGTACAAGCAACGAAGCTGCTAGGTATAATTTATATCTCTGAGAAACGTTTTGCCGATTAAACAATCGACTGCAGGTTCCTCCGTTTCATTTCGCGCGCCAGTCGCGTAATTCGCTCTCTTTGTTACATGAACACTTCAATAAGCGTGCTCGCTTAACGCTGTTGTTATCCTCCTTCGAAAGAAGTTTGTTTTTTACCGTGCAGCCAGGAGAAGATTCTTAGACGTTTGCAGTGAAATGGAAAACAACGTGCCCGTCCCGGGGAAATCCTGCAATTTTAAACTCGAGTAACTCAACCCGCTTCGTTTGCAGAACTCGGTTTCATTACGTGTCAGCAATAAGTCTTGGAAAATTGTGCGTGCTGCTCTTGAATCTTTCAAGTAGAATTTTTAGAATTTTATCCAAGCTTCCCTTCACACAGCTGCCAAAATAGATGAATTTGTGATTTTTCGCGGCGAGATTTCGCTTATTATAGGCAAGAAAAGAAAAAGTTACGTCGTTAACGTAAAATATATCCTGAGAGCGTAAATTTACAGGGAAGTAATTCTGTATTTTCGACGAGGTCGACGAAAGCACACTTCAGACGAAATTGAAAAGTAAAGTGAAGTCTTTGAAAAATAATATAACGAGGTCTTTTAAATGTGCGGGGAAGATCGATAAGCTCTAACACGAAAGGAAGGGGATTTTGGTGGGAATTTATGAAGCAAAGAATATTCCGTTACGTGCGTTTCCTATCCTAATAAACGAGATTTCAACTTTAATTTCGCAGAAACTGGGGGGGGGGGCGGAATTTCGGAATAGAGGAATGTAAGTAGACAGCTAGAAGTTTCAAACAGTTTTCAAAGTATTAAGCAATTCTAAAAGTCACGGCATTTATTACTTTCTTACTAACTTTAAGGAACAGGATCACTAAACTATTCCGACATTATGGTTTCATTATGGTGACTTTAAGAGCATCTATGTGCACGTAGACGCATTCAAATCTAATTTTAATAATTGATTCAATATAAAATATCTTCTTCTATAAAATTGTGTACAGCGCTACAGTGTTAATGAAATTTTACATTATGATTCGTGTGATGTACTGTACAACATGGACGTAAAAGTTCTGCACAGTGACTGTTCAACTACTTTCGCGAGCCAGTGTATGAGTGCTTTTACCTGGGGCTTGTAATCCGGCGTGAACTTTTCACCATCTCAAAAACCATAAATTGATACATAGGCGTCAAACAGAAACGCGCCCCGTCATCTTACAAAGTCACTTCGTCGATAAGTGACACCCGTGACTAAGTAGTTCCAAACTAGAAGGGCTTTGCTAAAAGCTACCGGAAAGTTTTGATGCTGCTTTTCATCGATGATAAAATCTCTATTTTTGACAGAGTCTCCTTAACAAAGGAGTCAACGACACCGTGATTTATTATCTAATTATTCTCGTGTTTCGTTACTCCAACATTGGGAGAAATCTCCCGTGTCATTTTACGTGCACGTTCGAAGGAATAAAATCATCCATTTATTATTAATTTTTCACTCGCGATGCGACAGCCTCTAAAGTTTAAATATATTTAATACTCTTTCATAGGGCGAGATAAAACACACTCATTTGCATATTTACACATTATGAATATTTATCATTTATGTGACACTGGCCTCGACAAAGTATGCTGCTTTTAATAAAAATTTCGCAAAACTTTCTGCCGAAAGGATGTTTGACTTCAAAGCGTGCGACGGAGATTATAAGCAGATCGTGGATATTTATGGAAAATTCGAAAGTCCCTAGAATGTGTATAAAATACGAGAACTGCACTACTTCATTGTGTTCAAGAATAGTCTGATCGCAGTTAAAACTAAACACGTATTTTTCCACTTTAAGAAATACCGCCTGTCGTATTATTAAAATATTATGCGCTTGACTAGCTTGACTAGCACCTAAATAATCCAAGTTCATAGTTCGTATCACACATTTTCATAATTTCATAGTTCCTCCCATTTTCAACTACTTCGTAATTAATCCTAATCGTAGAATGAGAGTCAACATTACAGTCAGAGGCTCCTTTATCTGTATATCCAAATTATAACATTCATTTGGCGAATGAAACGACGCAAATTATTCAAATCCCATTTCACTTTTCACTCCCTTCCATTCGGTTACATTTACAAAGGAGTGAAATTGAAGAAATTTCGTCTACGGCCTGGAAATGTGACGAAATTTTATTCCAGAGGCGGAGGAACAATGACAATGTCATCACGCGAGAGTTTTCCTTACAGTGGACTGAAATTAAACATACATCGAAACGCGTTGCACTCGCTGTCTCTCGTTCAGCTCTGCCGTCTGAAACGGTTCAAAGATAAGGCCGGCTCGTGTACATGAATCATTGGGAAAACCAACTGGATGCGTTGCGGAATCGAGCAGCCTAGAAGACTTAAATATTTCGTGCGGCAGGCTGCCATTAAATTATCCATATCAGCCGCAGAACGTGGTGCACAGAAGACGAAAAACGGAATCCTGTGCGCGCCGCGATCCACCTTGACGAACATTGTTACGAATTTAAAGCCTGCTGA